GCCTTCCTCAAGTTCTAGAACAGCACAAGCTGATTTCATCTCGGCAATTGCTCCTCCTTCAGCCTGGAATACTCTACCCAGCTGACATTTGTAGTTGACATTTGCTTATCCCTTAGTTTGAGATCAAGTATGACTTCAAAAGACTAGCAGTAGGATACACAATATTGAGGAAGTTGGGATTATTGTGTATCTCAGGCACTGTGTGACTTTTCCTGGGGACACATGAACAAACTTATTCATTATAGATAGATAACTGACCAAAGAAATGATTATGGCAACTCTAGCTTAGTGAACCATTAAGTTTATTGAGGTCACTTCTAGGAGTAGGATGAAGGTTTACATACAAGAACATGTATGACCAAAGACAGCTGATCATTAAAAAAAAAAAAAAAAACCAAACACACTCCATGGAACTGATTCACAAAAGCTCCATCCTGGTTTCCCTCATAGGATTTCTAACCAGCTTGGATGGTTAGAGAATCTTCTCTCTCCAGTAGCTATTATTGCTTATATAACCTTGGAGAGGGGCCTTGTGAATCTTCTAAGTTTCAGGAACTACCTAAGACTTGTGAGCTGTTTACTCCTTGAGCCTAGTAAATTTTACTTCCTGAATCTTAAAGATCTTCCCTTCAGCTATGAATATATCAGTTTGGAAGAAATTGCTATGCAGCATGGAGAGGGGTGGGCCTCTTAGGAAAAGGATGTCAGAAGGGGCTCACAGAACGTGGGCTGTGCTCAGTGAAATTATAGATGGGTTAAACAAAATCCAGATTGGATGCTAGATGTAATATTATTAGACAGCTTCATAAATCTTAACTGAGGGAAGAATGTACCTGGCAAAGAGGCAGCGGGCATTCTGTCAGCTAGAATTGAGGAATGTTTAGCCATTTCTTTGTGGTCATGACCAATGCTCATATTTTTCGTCTCTGTTCATATGCGACTGAAGAGAGGTCTTGCAGTTGTCTCTTCTCATCACAAATTTCACAAGGGCTCTTGTCTCAGATTGGTTTCTATGAAATACTTTATGCTCACTGGGAGAGGGGTGTAGCTGTTAGTGCTGGGTCAGCTTGCCAGTATCAAGGTCTGCTTCCCTACTTCTCAAATGTTACCTTTTCAAACAGCCCTACCCAAATCTCTACCTGAGTTGTTTTTTTATCCCTCGTTACTGCCTCCCTAGGCAACCTGCTCATTGCCTTCAAAGCCCACATTATAAATAGTAATCACTTGTTTGGTTGCATGTCATCTTCCTCTCTCCACCGTGAAAGTGGTTCATGAAATCATATCTGTTACATCTACTGCCATCACTTCTAGAACAAAGTACAGAACCAAGCCTCAGATGCTCACTGAGGAAGGAGGTTTGAGTAGGAGGAACACAGTCTCCCATGTTGCTGAGCAACTACTTTTTTGCTTCTGAATTTCACTTCCTGAGGTTAAGCAATAATCTAGTCCTTTTTTTTTTTTTCCTCGAAAGACCTTTTCAAATCTGACTTTTGAAGATGTTGTGAATGCCAAGGCTCAACTCTCCAGGGACAAGGACATCCCCAAATGCATCTTTTGAACAAAAATTAAGAAGTGACTGCCTTGGGAAAGGAACACTTGGGAAGAATGGGAAACATTTCCAAACTCAGAGGGGAATGTAAAAATAGGGCTTCCCACTTTAAGGAGAAAGAACAAGATAAAGGAACCAGAGATTGATAATAGAGGAGTATAATGAGGTGGCAATTTTGGTCTCAGAAGAATGTGATTAGCTCCTAATGACTGCCACCATTCCCTGGTCAATCTACTGTAACTAGCCACTAATGTAAAAATAATGCCCCTGGCTCCTTCACTTTGAAGACTAAGATGAGTCTCCCTTTCATGCTCTTACCCCTCAGATTTGTTTTCTTGAAGAGATTATCCTCTATTAGACTACAGCTACCTAAAAAGGGAAACATATGGGTGATCAAAGTCTGCCAATTAAGAGCCATTACCACCTCCTCTCGGCTGGCTCTATTAGACACACCTTCTCTATTTGTCAACATCATCATCATCATCACACACACACACACACACACACACACACACACACACGCCCCCACACTCTAACCCTGCTCTCCTTAAGCCTCACTAGGGAGAAACAGAGGTTCAGGTACTATAGTGTGTGCCTCTTTGTATTCCCATGGGGAAATAGCCTTCAGTAATCACAACTATTATGTAGAATGTAGGATTACCCTGGTTTAGGTTTGGCTTGGTTGGTCCCCAAAGCTTTGGCTTTGATTTTAAGCAGTTGTCAAGAACTCTCAATGTGGCAAGATGGAACATCATTGGATCTCGACAATGTTTCAATACAGGACCCATGCTTATTCTATTTTGTCCACAGAGACAGGCCATGGCAAAGCCCAGGACCAGAGTTAGGAGAAATCCAGCCAGCAATGCTGCTCAGAAGACAAGCAGGGAACTCAAGACAGTGAGCCATCTGTCACTAAGGGTGTCTCAGTGACTTACACTGTGAATCATCTGATCAGCTGCCTGATGGTCACAGTGGTCAGGACAGTTTTCAAGATCACTGATGACCCTGCATTTCCAAGATCTTTGCCATCCATGGGCAGAGAAGTCACTTCATTCATTAGTCATTTCATTCATTCAAAACTTGTAATTCTAACAATAAGAAGTACAGTCCCAGCAGTGGGCTCTGGAATCAGAATTATAAATGAGATGTTATCCTTTTCCTGAAGAAGCCCATAGCCAAGTTGGAAGGTAGAGCTGTCGGTGTGACAATATATAGAGAGGTGACTGACTCTAGCTGAGGACACAGTAAGGAAGGGTGAACAGAAAGATAACACAGAGAAGATGAAGTTTGCACTGGGTTTTGGAGATACTTGGTGATTTTGCAGAAGCTTCAGGTAGATGAGAACTTCAAGTAGAAAGATCATGTGTAAAGTCTCAGAGATCTAAAGGACATTGTACATGTCAAGAACTAAGGCTGAAAGACCATTTGAGGTGAAGGCATAAAGGGCCAGTTACGAAAGAATTTGGAATTTATCCTGAAGACAATAAAAAAAAGGAAACTGGGTCCTGTCCTCGTTTTATAAAGCTCACTCTTTCAAGACAGGGAAACCAAAAAGGAGACTCATGGGAAAATATCTCTGCAGGTAAATTTGCCATTTTTACATACAATCCCATAGGAGCTTTAATCATTGTCTATGTCCACATTTTATCACAGATAGTGACTTTTCTTGTTTGGAACAAGACCTTGGCATTAAGAATACCCAAGCAATGCTAGCACCATCCATAATGAAATCTTAAGCTAACTATAACCTAAATTCTGACACATAGCTAATACTAAACATGTTTGAGTTTTTTTTGTTTTGTTTTGTTTTGTTTTGTTTTTTCTTAAAATTCATACATAAAATATTCTGCCCCAACACCATGTTGGAATGAACAGTTGACTTTTATCTCAGGGAGCTGAAAATGGAAAACCTATTCCCCAAAAATCACCCCGAATACAATGCAAGCCAACACTATCCCTAAGACCCTAACACACAGCCCTGGCAAGCTGACTAACAGGAGGAGGGCTGCCTGGTCAGGAGGCAGGGTGGGCTTGAAAGCTGAGCTAGGCACAGGAACAAGAAGCATCTGTGGTCTAAAGATAGTTTAAGCCAGGAGAAACTTGGTATCCAGAGGCTAGCACTTGCTTAGTTTCCCCTCTGAGATGCCTACCTAAGGGTATGAGACACACAAAGAACATTCTGAGCCAGTTATAGCCTAAAATACACCTTAGAGCTAAGTTGGAGAACACAGCTAGCACAAGAAACCCAGCTAAAGCCCTGAACACAAGGTGTGCTCATGAATTAAGCAGCAGTTTTCCTGAGTGGTACAGTGACAATCTGCCCTGTCTGCTTCATTCCCTTTTATTGTCTACTTCCCACAGTCTCCTCCTCATACTCTTTGATTGCCTTCATATCCAACCACTCATACTCAAACCTTTATCTCTGCTTCTGCTTCTGAAGCAACCTCAGTCAGACACACTAAACTGATCAAACAAAATATGATTGCTCTTCTCATGTCAGCTACCACTACTTGCTCCAACAGTTCAAGTACCATCATGACACACGATTGCAGTAAATTCATAACCAGTTGCCCCACTTCTGGCCTTCTTAGAGCCTGCCTTCCACACAGGGACATGAATGCCCTTTTTATAATATATGAGGAGACTTTCTTGCTCAGAGCCCTCCAATGGTTTCCTACCACACTTAGAACAACACTCTACATTAGCCAGGAACCGCAATGCTTGGGAGACATTTGGGTTCTCACATCCTCTCTAAAAGTTTCCAGTTACTAGCTCCCCACAAAGCTACCTCACTCTCATCTGTGAACATGATCACCTGGATGCTCTCAGACCTTTGCACCCATTTCTTTTGCTTGGAAAACACTTCCTGCTTTTTTCAGCATAACAGGCTTCTTCACCCCAAAGAGAAATTAATTTGAATGTGAGTTTGTTTTTGTTTTTTCACAGAAACCTTCCTAAACTGTAAGAAATTTCAGTCCTCATCACTAGCCATTTATCCTGCTTTGTTTCTTCATATCTTTAATATCTAATGATGGGTTTGCTTTGTCCTTTGCTACATTTCCTAATCTATTGGATGCTCTGGAGTTCCTGACTGATACTATGCCCTCTGACACCTAGAAACATTTCCAAAACATAGTAGGGGGATCAGTGAGTACCTATTGAGTTTAGGAAGGAAGGAGGGATGGAAGGAATGAAGAAAAGAAGGAAGAAAGGAAGGGAGAGAGGGAGGGCTTCCTACAGAACTATACTTTAAGCTCATGACAGACAGAAGATATAACAATATTTGAGCCAATGAAGAAACAAGGTAAGGCGATGGAAGGTACCATTACAAGGCACATAGCCCTTTACACTGAGTGCCCATTAGAGTGGATGCTCATTTCCTGTTGTTAGTTCATCTACAAGGAAAGTCGCCTTCTTAGGCTATGCTAACGATTTGGCCTTTGCATTGTAGGCCTTACCAGAGGGACAGACAGCATCGTGGGACACAGCCAAGGAAGATGAAAACCGCAATAAGAATCGATACGGGAACATCATATCCTGTAGGTATTCTTCTGGGAGGTTCTATGTTTTAGAGTTTGGGAAATATGGGAGGAAAAAAAAAGGTTCTCTTTTCCTGAGATTTGATATAAAATAATCCTTATGTTTCCAGCTTTGGGTTAGTAGATTATTACAATGATCCCAGGAAAAGATGGTGAGGCTCAGATAACGTCAGTAACAATCCTAAGTGGGGAATGGAGGGGAAAGGAGGGAAGGGACTGCCACAAAACTTACTCTCACTTGCCAACAACACATCTGGCACTTCCAGATGATGATTTGGGCAGCCTTCAAAGCAGCACACACATAAGAGAGAGCCAAGTTGCCCCCAGACAAAATGTCGAGTTAGTGCTCTGGTAAGAATTGCCTACGGCATCTTTTGCCTACAGTAATCTATTGTACCCAACCCAGGCCTTTTGACCTCTAGCCCACTGAGTGAGTAACATCTCTTAAAATCTCAGGCAACCCAGTTGAGGCAAAGAAAGGAGAAAGGGGGGAATCCTAAGAGACAAGTTATTTCTAGCACAATTCAAAGTTTTGTTTTAACTGTCTAGACATCACCAAAGAAACAAGCTGGAGAAAGAATAAGACACAGGCAGATTGTAAAGGAAGAAAGAGGCAGAAGTTTTTTGCTTAGCTGTTTCCTGTGCTGATTTAGGACTGGGCTCTGAATAGTGGAACTAATCAGAAAACATTTATAATTTCTCTCTTGCTTGCAGACAGCAAGATTTTTTTGCAAGTGAAGTGGCGGAAAGAGATATTCAAATAGTCAGCAAACATGTATTAAGGCATGATGTGTGGTACTCGCTGAACACTTCCTGTGCTGGGCACTGGGAAATGCCTTTGTTCTAGGACAGGTGGCTAGTAGCTATGACTTGTCCCCACCATCATCTGCTTCAGTGTATTATCCAGTGTCCTTGTGAGGTTATGAGCTCACACAGGGTCCACTGTCTACAATAGGTTTCCAATGCCTTGTTCCTAGGAATGTTGCACAGGTGTAAAAAGTAAATAACCAGAGCACAAGGAAGGGGGCCTGACTCACTGAGAAACGGAAAACTCAGGCCGAGGGACAGAGCCAATATGTATGAGAGATATATAAAATATAGGAGAAGCTTCCTCAGGCCTCCCATAGCTCACTCTTGCCTGGGCCATCACTAACTCTCCCCTGCATCTTGCTCAGCCTCTTCCTGTCTCTTTCGTATCCAACTGGCCCAAACTGTCTACCTATCTGATCCCTGTCAGGACCCATGACGATCTTTACATGATTTAGATGATGTTATTTTCCTATTAAAATCTCTGCACATGTTCCTTTCACTCTTGAGTTCTCCTTTTTACAAGGCCTTTCCTAGACCCATTTATATGGGCTTAGTTCATTACAGTTTCCTTAGTAAGGCCATCACACAGCTTGAGCTTTCCATGTCCTTCCATGCCTTAGGGTCACCTTGACACATTCCTTTCTCTCCATCAAAGATTGTCAAAGTCCTTCCCTTCTCTCTTTGACTCACTAATGTCTACTTCTTTGTCTCTCCACTTTCATCACTCTCTAGGGGAATTTCTCTAAACATGTAGATAAACCCCCATTACTCAGCCCCAGAGCTCTCTGTCTTATGTTCACCTCAGCCTTTGTCATCATTCCTTGAGAGGCATTTGGATGAGCCTGCCTGCTTGCCTCCCATAGCTGCCTCACAGCAGCAGAGCCTCAGCCATCTACATCTGTATTTTCCCAAATCTTCTGTATGACTGATGTCTAAAAGTAAGAACTGAATATATGGAGGGTCCTATAGGGCATGAACATTGGGTTGTTCTCTGCTATGCCCCCAAGCTGATAGTGAACAACTTGGAAGGACAACTGGATGAAGGCTGGATGAAGCCAACACTGGATGATAAGTCTCAAGAGGGAAGACCAGCGAGAATACAGAATCTACAAAGGAGAAAAAGACATAACATTCCTGCTGAGAACTCCAGCTGAGAGCCAGAAATGCAGAAAGTGGCATGAATGGGATGAACTCCATTGCTGGGGTAACTTCCTGGGACTAATGTCCATATCACTTAATGTACAATAGCACCAATGGCAGAATGGGTACCAAAGGCAGGGTAGGCTTAAAAGGGACCAGGTGTCCATGGCCACTATTCTAGGAAGCTGCATCCTAGCCATGGATGCTATGTGTGAGCTCCTTTCTGACATATGTGCTCCACACACCTCATGGTTCCACCTGCTCTGTCCACATCTCTTTGACTAAAGACTTTATCCAAAGTCGTAGAAGGATGCTATTCCCAAGCTTAAGACAGACAGCAAATACAAAGAACCTACATGCTGGGAAGAAACCTCTGTCATGAAACCCCAAGTTCCACAGCAGTCCACAGAGGGGCCTCTCCCACGTCTCTTTTTAGATTCCCACAGAGATTACACTGCAGTTGTTCACAGTGGCAGTGGGTTTTACAACAGTTTTCTGGACTGCCTTTTCCCTCACCCCCTTCCTCTGCAGCCTTCCAGTGTTAGCCATTCCTCCTTACAGACATGTTTTGCCTTGGAATTCTTGTCTTATATCCCCCATACAGCAACAAAAAACAAAACAAAACAAACAAAAAACAGAGATTTATAAAATGCAGAAGCCTTAATACTATCACCTTTGTGGCTTTAAATGAACCCTAATCTCTTTTCTAATTGAGGTTCAGTGGCTATAGCATGTCAGGCCTAGCATAGGTCTGTGCTGAACCCAGCAGGGAGACAAGAGTCAAGGTAACTCTTTGGGTCCAAAGTGCAACACAAGACATAAGAGGAGTAAAAGGGGCAGGAGTACTGAGATTTCAATGAAATAGGTTAAAGAGAAACAGCCCAGAGGCCTGGAAAGTGTCCCCGCCTTTGTATGTGTCCCTCCCAAAAGCATGCCTGCCCAGCTTTGATAAACAGAAATATTCTTGGCACAAGAAGAAAACCAGCTGTAATTAGCATCTTAAGGGACTCAGGTTCCCAAAAGGCCAGAGGCCCAGGCCAGGGAGCACAGAAAAGATCAGAGGGAAGGAGGAGGGCAAAAACAGTGAATGAGAAACCTTGCTGAAAAGCCCTCTCTTCCAAATGATCAGTCCTATTTAGAGTAATAATGGAGACTGGGCTTTCCAGGGAGTAGAAGTGGAAAGGAACTGAACAGAAGGAAATGAATAGGTAAAATGAGAACAAAGAGTCCTTTGCTTTCAGGTAGCTCCAGGGCAAAGACTGAGAGCAAGAAGAAATTCCAATAGCAAAGTATCCATCGCCCACCCCCACCCCTGTTGGCATTCTGGAGCTTTCTGAACTGGCAGGAAGGAGATGGCTGTAGAAAAGGAAGTTCTCTCAAGGGCTTCAAATTCCATAAAATGGCACTGTCCTGTGATCAGTCAGGATCCCAGCTGGAAATGGATGGGACCATCAAATAATGTCCTTTGAGGAGACATAATGATGAGAATAGTCTAGGAGCAGAGACACTAGAAGCCGCCAGGAATTTTGGAGGGAGAAATCACCAGAGCTCAGAGGCTACCTGAGCACAGGTGTGTCCTCTGGTGGCTGCTCCAACAAAGGGAGCCAAAGAATAAGCCCCCTGACCCTGCCCTCTTGCCTCCACCCACTCTATGTCTTTGCTGTCTGCTAGCTGAACCCAACTAGATGCCAGAGAGAGGACAGGGTGGGCCCAGTGGCTCTCAGGCTGTGGTCCCTGTGTGGTGGTAGCATCACTTCGGAGCACATTGGAATTGCTAATGATCCCTGGACCTCTAGCATCAGAAGGCATGGGGACAACAGACAGCAGCCCATTGTTGAAGCTCTCTAGTGAGACTCTGAGGGTCTTATATGGTCCTTGGAAACCAACCTCCTAGACCGTAGACTCAGACAGAGAAGGTAAAACATGAATCCACGGGCTCACACTCATTTGCTGAGGCATTTTTCCCCTCAACCTTGGGGAAAAATCTTAGAAATGTCACTGGGTTCTGGTGTAGTGGAGTCTTGGACAGGAGGTCAGGCAGAGCCAAGTTGTAGCCTTTGTTCTGTTAGTTAATTTCTGGTGACCTGTAGCAAGTCCTCTCTGTTTCTCTGACCTGTTTCTCACCTATGAGGTCAGATGCCAGTGCAAAAAGCTCATATTAAAAACCAATGGAAATGAAATTTAAATCTAGTGTGGCCTTTGGAGTCATGGATTTCTAGTGTAGGGCAGGCTAGCCTCTTAGTTTACAGGATGGGCAGATGGCCCAGAGACGAATACCCAAAGTCACACAGCCATGTAATGAATATATAGATCTGACACGTCACCTGCTGGGATGCCAGTTGTTTCTTGTCAAGGGGTCCCCTGAACGAAGCCATGTGTATGCTTCCCAGCAGCATATGCTGCCAAAGGCCCAACTTCATAACAGATAAGCCTCGTAGAATGGTGTTCTCTTCCTGAAGGGGGAAGGGTCACCATATGCAAAGAAAACTCCACTCCCAGGAAGGACTCAAGTTCAGAACAAACCTCCCATACAGCGGGATTCTCTAAGGCTTCCTGGAAAGAGAGCTAGGATGGTGTAATGGGTTCCTGGTTTATTGTTTCTGACATTCGGCCTCTACTCTTTTTTTTTTTTTTTGTCTTCTCTGAGGGGGGCCTTAGTAGGTCCTACAAGCTTTTCCTAGTATAGAAATTATTGGTATCCTGCCATATCCCTCCATAGTCCCTGTTGCTCATGACCCTAATTCTACTGCTAGCATATATATTCTTCTCTGGGGATGTGTTCTGGCCACTGGACATTCACTCTCTGTTGATAGGACAGACCACAGCACTGGGGAATTGAATGTCCTCAAGTGTTGCCTTCCACCAATGGCTAGTACAAGTAGGTGTCTAAGAATCCCAGATCCCCCTCCTTAGGGTTTACATTTCCTGTCTTCTCCTAGAGCTCTGAAACAGAGAAAAATCCTATTTGTCCAGTGTGGCCACTACTGAGTGATACTCCCTCCCTGGATTCCTCTCTTCCTGGTATTTCCTGAGAAGGCTTCTCAAATCAC